TGCTGCTGCTGGGGCCCCCGCCGCCGCGGGCCCGGCCCGGCGCCGCCGCCTACTTCCCGGAGGAGCGCTGGAGCCCCGAGTCGCCGCTGCAGGCGCCGCGCGTGCTCGTCGCGCTGCTGGCGCGGAACGCGGCCCACGCGCTGCCCGCCACGCTCGGCGCGCTCGAGCGGCTGCGCCACCCGCGGGAGCGCACGGCGCTGTGGTGAGCCGCCCGCCCGGGCCCGGGTCCCGGGTCCCTGTCCCCCCGGTCCCCCCGCCCCGCCCCGGCCCCGCCCCGCTGGGTCCACGCGCGTCCCCGGCCCGTCCCCACGTCTCGTCCCGTCAGGTCCACGCGCGTCCCCCGTCCTGTCCCCTCGTCCCATCCGGTCCACGCGCGTCCCCCCGTCCTGTTCCCTCATCCCATCGGGTCCACGCGCGTCCCCCGTCCTGTTCCCTCGTCCCATCGGGTCCACGCGCGTCCCCCCGTCCTGTTCCCTCGTCCCATCCGGTCCACGCGCGTCCCCCGTCCTGTTCCACGCACGCTCCCCCGCTCCTGTCCCTCGTCCCATCCGTCCACGCGCGGGTCCCCCGTCCTGTCGCCCTCATCCCATCCGGGGCTCAGCGGGGCGCGCGTCCCCCGTCCCGGTTCCTGTCCCATCCGCGTCACGCCGTTCGTCCTGTCCTCCGTCCGTCGGTCCCGGCGCGTCCCTGTCCTTGTTCCCCGGCCATCGGGTCCACGCGCGTCCCGTCCTGTTCCCTCGTCCCGTCGGTCCACGCACGGCTCCCCCAGTCCCCGTCCGCTGGTCCACGCGCCGTCCCCCGGTCGCTGGTTCCCTCGTCCCATCGGCGTCCACGCACGTCCCCCGTCGCCTGTTCCTCGCGTCCCATCGGGGTCCACGCACGTCCCCGTCCTGTTCCCTCGTCCCATCGCGTCCGACGCACGGTGTCCTGTCCCTCGCTCCATCGGTCCACGCACGTCCCCCGTCCTGTTCCCTCGGGCCCATCGGCCGCCACGCAGTCCCCGTCCTGGTTCCCTCGTCCCATCGGTCCACGCACGTCCTCCGTCCCCGTCGGCCGCTGCGCGTCCACGCCGTCCTCCGCTCCCCGTCCCGCTGGGTCCACGCGCGTCCCCCGTCCCCGTCCTGGCTGGCGTCACGGCGTCCGTGCGTCCGCTGGTTCACTGCGCGTTCCCCTGTCCCCCGTTCAGCAGCATCCAAGTGCGTTCCCTGCTGTCTCCGTCCTCCCCCCGCATCCGATGGTCCACCTCGTCGCCCTGTTCCAGTGGATCCACTCCCTCCGTCCCGCATCCCGCCGGGGTCCCGCTGCATCCCCTGGTCCCCGTCCCTGTCCACGTGGTCCACGCGGTTTCCCCCACCCGTGGTCCCTTGCCGGCGGCGGCCTGTCTGCTGCCATCTCCTTTATGGCTGGCAGCAGACCCCTCAGTTAAGACAGCGGGACCCGCGTCTGCCCGTGCACTCCTGGCAGGTGCACCGGCGTCTCTGCGCCCTGCGGCAGAACCCGAGGGACAGACCTGCTGTCCTTTGCCAACAATCAGGCCTGGAGCCTCCTATGGGCCTGTTTGCGCCCAGCCTGGGTGGGAAGGGCGAGCCTCTGAACAATGGCCTCACATGCTGGAGTTCTCGGCTCCCTGCCTCAAGTTTCCAAATGGAAGTGGGTGGCCCCGTAGTGCGATTCTCCTTGGTTTGTTCAGTTAACCAGCTGTGGACCTGCTCTGTGCCGGCAAGGGGCTTGGCCGTCTGTGAGAGAGCTCGGCTGTTGTTTTTATTGTTGTTACTGCTGCTTATTGCAGCTAAACCGTCCGCGCGGACAATAGCTCTGTCCAACCCGGTGTCAAGCTGGACTTGCCCGAATGTCCCTCTCCCTCCCTCGGCCGGATTCCCCAGTCTGCAGGATCCAAACACGCGACTAGGCCCGGCGCGGCTCACGACTGTATCCATGCCACTCTGGGAGGCCGAGGCGGGAGGATCGCTCGAGGTTCAGGAGTTCGAGACCAGCCTGAGGCAAGAGCGAGACCCCGTCTCTACCTAAAAATAGAATTAATGGCTGACAACTAAATATATAGAAAAAATGACCAGGCGTGGTGCGCATGCCGTAGTTCCAGCTACTTGGAGGAGGCTGAGGCAGCGATCGCTGTGAGCCAGGAGTCTGAGTGCTGTGAAGCGAGGCTGACACCACGGCGGGCACTCCTCTAGGCCCGGGCACAGGGTGAGACTCTGTCGCCAAAAAAAAAAAAAAAAAAAAAAAGACAAACACAGACTGGATTTTCCACAGCGGTTTGTTGAATGACTGACGGACCACAGCCCACCCCGAGGTCTGGTGCTGCTCACCGGAGAGCCTGAAGGAAGGCGCTGGGCACGATGCACGAATTAAGTGACACGTGTCACTTTAAGCACCGAGCGTGGGCCATACGATCTAGGTCGTGATAGACACCAGTTGCCAAGGCTTCCCAATTCGCTGGATTAATCTCATCCCGCATCCCAGCCAGCTGGCTGCTGCCCTCCACCTCCTGTACCACATGGGAACTGAGGCACGGGAAGCGGGAAGATCCCGGCCGGGGCCACATAGAGCTGGTGGAGACCGAGCTGGGCCTCGCAGGAGCCGGAGTTGCCTGGCTGTGCCTCGGTCTCCCATGCCGTGCCGACTGTCCCCTCTGCGGCAGCCACGGACCACAACGCGGGACAACACCTCTGGCCGTGCTGCGGAGTGGCTGGTGGCGTGAAGGGTTCACCTTCCGTGAGTGGCGGCCGGCGGAGGAGCCCAGGTGAGTGCCGGACGGCCACGGCG